TATGCTAAGTGCTTCACAAATATTATTTCATATGATGATATTTGTAAAGTGCAGAAAGTATCCGAAGCTGGATTTGAATTCAGGTCTTCCTGACTCCAGGCCTGGTGTTCTATCCATTGGGCAACCTAGCTACTCCTTAGTTGTGAAAATCAAAGGAAATAGAAGGTATAAAATGCTTTGTAAACCTTAACGGACTTTATACACATAATATAACTAATAATATAATAATAACTAATATAACTATTATTATTATTTCATCTCTAGTTCTGATTCTGGGTCTGACCTCTCAGGTCACAGCTACCAATCAGCAAGGCTTCTCTTACTTTACATCTTCCCCCACTTTTCCTAGTCTCTTCAGGGTAAGCTCTTGGTAGGGTTACACGCAAAAGGAAGGAGAAGTGGTCAAGCACCTTCTGTACTTTCTCTCCTTAGTCCACTGACGGTGGTCAATTCTGGTCTCCCCTACTTCTTGGCGCAGCTAGGGGGGCACTGGTATCCCCTGGCTGGGGGACAACAGGAGAACAGTATGGCCCCCTTCTTTGCTCCCTCGTGGCTGGCAGGGATGTACCTTAGGCCGCTGGCTTCTGGACAGAGCTAAAGTATTCCCTGGAGCCTTGGTACACGTGCGTCTGGGTGAGTGGGAGGAGCAGATGTGACCTGTGATTCAGCTTTCCCAAGCGAGCGTTATATAAGGTAGGACGGACAAATACGAACAGCAAACATTTTGTATTAATTTGTTTGAACACAGTGATTCCTGCCGTGCCAGGATCAAACCCCCTAATTCAAATGCACAGCCTGACTCCTAATCAAGAGTTCCCCTCCTCTGAACTGCTGTCAGCAGTTCAGTTTTCTTACAGGGATGCGCCAGAAAGGGAAGCTGTGAGCAGAGAACATTTGGCCCTGTCCCACAGCCTACTCTCCTAATCCCAACCTCCTCGGGGTGGGCTCCTGGTGAGCATCAATGACAAACAGTGGGAAGAAAAGGGAGGGGGCTGTCAGAAAGGCAGATGGGAGTCAGGCTGAGTGTGAGCAAAAAGGTGTCAAAGCAAATAGCCCAGGAAAGACAGGAACATCTCAGGAGGAAGAATCACCTTCACCTCGACACCTAAGGCCTTTCTGGAAGGGTCCCAGCAGTCCCCTAACTCAGGCATCTGCACTCCCAAAAAGTGAGGGCAGTGGGATAGTTTATTTCAAGTTCTGCCAAATGTAAGGCTCAGGGATTGTTGGGGTGGAGGTGGGAGGTGCTCTCAGAATGGGTGGTAGGTGGGGCCACGGGGATCTCGTGGCCTTTTGGGCTGGGTGGCAGTGGGGTATGTGGCATTTCCTTGGGAGGGGCATTTGGCACTGGAAAGCTAGAAAGGCGAGGGTGAGGCCCAGAGAAGGAAGTGGCCTTTTCTGGCTTCTTAACATTTACCCTAAGAGACAAAAGCAAAGGGAACCACCAATTTTCCTTCTAATTTGTCCAGTCCCAGTCAGTCCAGCCAGTTAGTCAGTCAACAGGCATATCCCGGTACTCCGGTTAACCAGGTTGTGGCCACTGCCACCGTCTTCTGCAGAGGAACACGGAAACAAAAGGCGCTGTAGACGTACCCGTGCTGTCAAGCGCTCTCCCATTAGTTATGTCGTATCTGGCAGCAAGACTAGAAAGGTTAATGCAGCGAGGCACGTACCAAGCACAAATAACTATCAACAATCTCGCCCAGTACTGCAGTCAGAGCCAGTCCGTCTAAAATGACTGAAAACATCAGGCCCTTGGAGAATGAAGGCATGGTGAAGAGACTGCAGACCTAGGCAGCAGCAGCTCCACCCAAGCATCCACATCAGCAACGGAACCGGCATCTCTCAAAGGGGTCGCGCGTCAATCAGAAAGCCACCATCAGACCTGCTGGCACAAATGGCTGATGCCGACCGGAACGAAGAGGTTATTTGTGGCAAAGAAAGTGATGCGTTATTAACATCCTGCAGGAACTCATGCTCTCAAGAGGGATGCTCACAGAAACCTGTAGTGAGAGATTTAGGTCAAGCTGAGAAGGATGGATGACCAGTGGGAAGCCGAGAGGAAAGAGGTGCAGGTTACGTCGGTGACCAAATGAAGTACTCTATGTAATCCTTCCAGCGAGGGCCGATCCATGTTTGGACACCTACTCTCAAGGGTCAAGCAAGATCTCCTAATTCCTAAATTCGCTGACCTTTTCTTTATCCTCATTTTCCAGTGTAGCATAACGAAAAGAGTGATGGACTTGGAGTCAGGAAGTCTTGGGTTCAAATGCCACTTTAGACACTTACTAGCTGTGTGACTCTTGGCAAATCACTTCAATTCTTTGTACCCCAGATTCCTCATCTGTGGAACGACAGCGTCAGACTTGATGGCTTCCAAGTTTCCTTTTAGCTCTAGCTCTGTGGACATGGTACCCATGGCCAGCCACGTGACATGACTGACCAATCCCTTTCCTTGACATTCTCTTCCTCCTTGGATCAGATAATCTATGCAAAACATTTTGTAAACTTTCAAGTGCTACATAAATATCAGAATCATCATTACTTCACTGTCATAAATACCTACCTTGCTGACTGTTTTTCTGTCTCTTCTCCTTTCCACCGCCTTAATGTCCTTGGTCCTCTTTTCTTCTTTCCCTCCATCTCCAATTCTGATTCCTAAAGTTAGTAGCACTGGGCTCCAGTCTTTCTCCTGAGTTCCAAGCCACACATTTCTAACTGCCTACTGGACACTGCCCCCTGGATCTCCTGTTGGCACCTCAAATTCACCGTGTCCAGATTGAATTCATCATCTCTTCTCTCTGACCCTGAAATCTTCCCTTCCTCCTAACTTCTATCATTGGGTCAAATTGTGAATTGTGTTCAGTTGTGTCTGACTCTTTGTGACCCCATTTGAGGTTTTCTTGGCAAGGGACTGGAATGGTTTGCTATTTCCTTCTCCAGCTTATTTTGCAGATGAGGAAATGGAGGCAAACAGGGTTAAGTGACTTGCCCAGGGTCACACAGCTGGTACATATCTGAGGCCAGATTTGAACTCATTAAGATGAGTCCTTCTGACTCCAGGCCTGGCACTCTATCCACTGCATCACCTAGCTGCCCAAACTATGAATGGTCCTACCAGTTCCCCAGTTACCCAGGCTTGAAATTTTAGAGTCATCTCCAGACATCTCCCCTTCATTGTATACTTCTAATCAGTCACCAAGTTCTGTTGATTCTACCCCCACTGAATACATTCCCAGCACCACCACCCTAGTTCATCCATTCATTACCTCTTGATGGAATAATAAAATAATCTAATTAGTCTCCTGCCCTTCAGTTTCTTCCTTCTCCAATGCATCCTACAGAGTGTTACCAGAGGAACCCTCCTAATACATGGCCCTGATCATGTACCTCCCACCCTGCTCAAGACTCTTCAGAGATTCTCTACTACTTTATGAATAAAGCCCAACCATCACAGCCTGGAAACTGTTGAACGTATTGAGTTTCACAGCCTGGTGTTAAAGGTTGGCTCCACTCCTCTTCCTCTTCATATATTTTATGCTCCAGCCAAAATGGAATATTTATGGTTCCCCAACCTCCTCCCACCTCTATGCTTTTGCTTAGTGTCTCCCCTACTCTAAGAAAAAGATGGGGAATGCAAGATTCAGGGTGACTTGTAACTGATCCAAGAGATGATTGGAAGGGAAGAAAGTGCTGGGCTGCAGTTCTGCGTCTAATACCTAATGAAATCCTTCCTGTGCCCTTAAAATGATCCCAAATGATTCCTTTTTATATGTGGAAAAATCCAATCAGCCTCCCCAACCTGAAGCCATCTCTCTGTCCCTTGGACTGCTATAGCAATTTATTTCCCTCTCTCCTACATTTAAATTTCAAGTCATGATTTCTTTTGGGTGAGTGTCCCCTCCAACGACAGAACCAAATCCTCTGAGCATTAGCAGACAGGACCTCACGAGTGGCTGTGACTAAAATAGACAATCAGGGGGTGGCCATGAGCCTCTATGATCTTAGCTGAGCCTGGGTTCTCAGACCACAGACATACAGTCAAGCCCTGTGTCTGTGTACTTGAACCATTTTTAGCTTGGGAGGTCCTACAAGAGCTTACAGTGCCTGATGTAGCTTTTGAGAATTCAGGGTCACATGCCTGCCATGATAGGGCATTAGAGCAGGAATGTAGTAGAGGCCTAAGCACTAAGAAGCCCAGATTTAGATCATGACCAATCCTGCCCTCCTCCTCTTTTTTTTTTTTTTAGTGCAGGGGTACAAAGGGGGAAGCAGGGAGTATTCCTCAGAGGTTGTAGTAGGGACAAAGGTTTAGAGGTACATAAAACAGATAAATTAATAGAAAGGCATAGATTTTATGGGGCAGGTAGGTAGTACAGTAGATAGAGTGCTGGGCCTGGAGTCAGGAAGACTCATCTCCCTGAGTTCAAATCTGGCCTCAGATACTTACTAGCTGTGTGACCCTGGCCAAGTCACTCAAGTCACTTAACCTTGTTTGCCTCAGTTTCCTCATCTGTCAAATGATCTGGACAAGGAAATGGCAAACCACTCCAGTACCTCTGCCAAGAAAACCCCAAATGGGGACACAAAAAATTGGACATGCCTGAAAATGACTGATTAATAACAAATGGATTTGATAATTAGGTTTTTAAAAAAATTAACCATTACTCTAATTCTTCTTTACAACACGACTAATGTGAAAATATGCTTAATAGGAACGTATATGTAGAGCCTATATCAGATTGCATGCTGTCTTGGGGAGGAAGGTGGAAAAGAAAATTTAAAACTCAAAAGCTTATGGAAGTGAATGTTGAAAACTAAAAATAAATTATTAAAAAAATTAACCATTGCTCTGTAACCTATAATAATTGTGAGTGACCTCTATAAGTCTCGGGTCAATTTGCATAAGGCATACCAAGCCTGAGTTTGAATTGAACAAAGGCACCTCCCCTTTGGGTGTGTCTCAATGTGGCATGCAGGTGACTAGCTTTTTCAAGGCTATGTTAGTAGAGGCTCATTAAGCAGGAAGACTTTTAGGTGTGGAGCCCCAAGATACACCACCATCTGAGACCAGCACCAGGACCCCGAAACCTCTTGAAAGAACAGAATGTGGAACTGACTCTAAAAAAGATAAGATTGAATGTAAAGCCTTTATTGAGGGCCAGGCAAGAAGCTCTGGGCTTGAGTTCTGCCTTTGAAATGTACTAGCTGTGTGACCAAATGCCAATCAGGTAACCTTCTTTGGACAAATCTCCAAGGCTATAGGTTACAGGAGTCTGCAGGAGAAGAGTTTTCCTACTGAGATGTCTTTACACTACTGAAAACGCAGTTCTGGAACAATAAGTAAGTGATTACTGTGTACTAGGCCTGTACCAAGTGCTGGGATTACAAAGACAAAGATGAGATAGTCTTTGCCATCAAAACGAACTTATAATATAGTGAGGAGAGACAGCTTGTACATACGAGGTTCTTAATTTTTTTTTTTTTGGTTATGGACCCCATGGGGAGTCTAGTGAACTAGTTTATGCTTTTAAATGCCTAAAATCATATACATGGGACTGCAAAGTAAACCAATTATATTTAAAAAGAGAAGGTCATGGACCCCAGGTTAGGAACTCATAATATAGAGGTATATAAAAATAAATCCGAGATTTTTTTTTTTTGTGAGGGGAAGGCAATAGCATGTGGAGGGACCAGGAAAGGCTTTATGTAGAAGGCAGCATCTAGAATTTCTTGAGTATAAGAGTGACATGTTCACACCTTGGGCAACTATGGGGAGAGTGGATTGGGGTGGAGAGACCAGTGAGGAGGCAATTGTAAGAGTGATGAGGGCCTGGCTAGGACGGCAGCTATGTGAAGGGACAGAAGGGTTACTACCAAGGTAGAAACAAGACTGGGCAAAGGATAGGACACGTAGGGTTAAGGAGAGTGAGGAGCAATGTCTTAGAATTCCGGAAAGTCATGACGTAGTAAGATTCCGAAGGGCTTTAGACACCACAAAGGGGAGTTTGTGTGTGATCAGAAGAACGACACATTTAGGCTTGTGCTTCAGGAAAACTAATTTGGCAGCTGAGTGGAGACAGAGGATTTATTAATAGCTTAGTATGAGATGTTGTGGCAGAAGAAATCTGCCAAGTGATTAGATTTGGGAGGTGAGGGGGAGTGACCAGTAGAGGAGGATTACAAGGGTGACTGAAAGAATGACGGTGGCCTAAAAAGAAATGGGGAAATTGGGAAGAGGGGAGGACTTTGGGGAGAAAGATAGTGGGTTCGGTTTTGTTGTTGAATTTAAGATGCCTATGATAAACCTAGTAGGAAATGTCCAATAGAGAGTTGTTGATACAGTAATGGAGCTCAGGAGAGAAGTGAGGCTGGATATATAGATCTGGGAGTTATCTATAGACAGATAACAATGGAATCAATGGGCACTGAAAAGATCACCAAGAAAGGAAGGTGGGAGAGAGGGGGGAGGGGGGAGGGAGGGAAAGAGAGAGACAGAGAAAGAGAAAGAGAGAGAGAGAAAGGGGGGAGGGAGAGGGAGAAAGAAAGAGAGGGAGGGAGAGGGAGATGGAGAGAGACAGAGAGAGGGAGAGAGTCCAGAACAGAGTCTTGGAGATCACCCACTGTTAGGGGCTAGGTCATGATTAGTCCATATTTAGATCAATACAATACTCTTCCCTCTCCCCACCCAAAACAAAAAGTATGGGTAAGTATATTGTATGTTACAAGGCCAACTTTTTTCCAACTAGAATGATCTACCAGCCTTAGCTATAGTACTCTCAGTAGACACCCCTGGTAATTTGGTGCCAGCCACTAGAGGTAAAGGCAGAGTATCTGGAAGGAACGAAAATAATTTCTCAAATCTAAGACTTGACGTCAAACCTCAGTGATGAAAATGTCATTTGAGTAGTCAGATAATTCTGCAAAGATCTCATTAACACAAGCTTTCTTTTAAGCCTGTTTTCACTACAGGTGGTAAAGCTCTTGAAAAATTCTAAGGACTCGCAAAGATGTTAGAACTTATCTCATATGTCTTTATCTTTATCTTTTTTTTTTTTAATGCTTGCTGATGTTTTTTACACATGTTCTGTCTTCTCTCTCCCATTTGACCTCTTTGGGGGGAGGGACTGTGACTCTTACTTCTTTGCATCCTTTTTAGTACCTAGTACATATAACACTCTAAAAACATTTATTGTGAATGACCAGTTTGGGAGATTTTCAGCATTATGATCTCATGTACTTTAGGTCAATGGCACATACACTGTGCCCATTAAATTCCAGAACAGCAGCGTGCCTTGCAGAACACCATTTATTTATTTGGGCCAAGGCTGGGCTTATGGTTAGGCTGAGGATGTCTTGGAATTTGAGATGGGCTGGAAAGGTCCTCCACCAGCAAGGGCTCTTTTTATTTGGGTGTCTCATGCCTCTAAAATCCCACTCTTAGAGATTTATTTCTTGAGTGAAATACTGGCCTCCTTAAAGTCTCCTCTTACAAAATGAAAATACATGTTAAAAGGTTAAGATAGGAAATATTTAATACATTACAATGAATCAAGATAGGCTAACCCTTTCTACCATGACAGGAAGGGTGTACTGGAGACTTTGGAGAAAGGGAGGAGTGGGAAGTGGGAAACTAAAGACCAACTATTCCACAGCATTGCCTAGGATCGATCAAAGGCCCATGTGAACAGTAAGTCATCCCTACCAGAAGGAGACATTTAAGGAGGTAGTGTGGCGTAGTGGAAAGACCTATTGGACTCTAGAGTCGGAGAACTTTGGGCAGGATCCTGGGGTCACCGGTTTAGATCAAGGTCCAACGGGACCTTGGAGTTTTGAGTCAAATCCTCTCATTTTAAAGGTGAGGAAATGGACATTGAGAGTGATTAAGACTTGCCTTGGGTCCCACAGCTAATAAGTGCCTAAGGAAGGATTTGAATTCAGGTCTGACTCCAAACCTAACACTCAACCCGCTATGCCGCCTTGCTGCTCAGATGCTCTCTCTGTCACCTACCTGTGTGACCTCAAGTCATGTAACCTGTCTGGGTCTCAGTTCTCTCCTGTGCAAAATAAAGGGGGGGAGGGAGGTGTGTGTGGTGGAGTCAGTGGCCTCAAAGTTTCCTTCCAGACCTAGATGTTGGAGCCTATGACCCACATCTCAGGGGTCCCAGCGCTCAGGTCCATTATTTTATGGGAAGTTACAAGTCTACTTACATGGTATGATCTCATAAGTAATGATGATGAAGGGAACTGAAATGAAGTCACTTCATTATAGCAGATGAGTTAAAAGTAAGAAACAGCTGAAAGGGGTGGGGGGGGAGTTCTTGCCATCTCTCCACTGACAAATGCCAGAGCTAATATTAATCTCTCATTTTTCAATAGGTGGTATGTGTGTGTTTCTAAGCCTGAACAAATCCCTCTTCATTTCTCTCTTCCTTCTCCCTTCCTACCAAGCTCCCCCCCCCCCACCCCATGACGTGTGCACATGCTTTTGGTATTATTAAACCAGCTGGAGGAGGCCAGAAAGAAATGGAGCCGAGAGAGCCCAGAAAAAAAAAGGAAGAAAGAAAGAAAGAAAGAAATCCAACCCCTAGTTAACTCTCTGAAACCCCAGCTGCTGCTGCTGCAGTCAGCAGGGGACAGCAGGTGTCCTTTCATTCAATCTGGGCATGGACTTATAAATAGAGACTAGGAATTTCAAATACAAAAGTTTTGTCCCTCAGAAAAAAGTAAAACCTTCTCGTCCTGCTAAAAGACCTAACCTTTGAGCAGCTGAAGAAAGTGGCCTTGGATACTGGGCCTGCCTCTATGGAGGAACACCAAGTGAAGTAAAAAGTCAGGTTCATGGGACCCTTAGTTCTTATACGTCAAAGTGGTATACGATATGAAACCAGGTTCGCCCCATCTGGAGTAAAGACTCATTTCAGTCCTGATTAGAGCACGGGTGCTATTTAGGAGAATTTTCAAGTCGTGCTCAAATGTAATCAATTGCATTTTTTAATAGAAAACAATCCCAGACCTGCAGCTCACATAAATATTCGTTGATCTGATTAATAATGATCACTTACATTAGGTGCATGTCTTTTTCTTTCTTTTTTTTTTTTTAGTGTATGTTTTTGTAATTTAGAGCATCTCAGAGCACTCATCATTCCATTTAATCCTCTCAAGAAGCCTGGGAGTTAGATACTGAAAATGTCATTCTCTTCAGTGAAAGGATCACAGGATCATCAGGTCAGAGGCCACCTAGCCCAAAGTTCTCATTTCACAATTGAGGAAACTGAGGCAGAGAGAGGGGAAAGGACTTGTCCAGGACCACATAGCTAGTATCTGAGGCAGGATTTGGACCCAGGCTTTCCAGTCTCTAAGCATGGTTCATTCCCTATGCCGCTTAACTGCCTCAACAATTCATAGGAGAAGACACAAATTCTGAGATGTTAAGTGGCCCATGGCTAAAAGGGAAGTGAGTGACAGGACGAGGATTCAAACTCAGGACTTTTGACTCTAAATGAATGACTTTCTCCTATTCCACATCTCTTCATAATAAAAAAGAAAAGGCTGGGCTGTGGACTCCACATTTCTAGCGCTTATTGTGATATCACGCTTCTTTTCCTACAGCTGTGGGGGGAAAAAAATGAGACCAGTACGAACTCAGTCAGAAGTGATATCTTGAAGGAACAACAAAAGAAGCGGCCAGTAAGTGGCAGGCCGTTTTGTACGGAGTTGTCCTTTGTCATTACTGCCGGGTGAAGGAAGTCACTTCTCACTGGTTCAGAGCTCAAATTAAATGAATTCTAAATAGAGCTGCCTGGGCTTGTTAATGACTAGTTTTATGGGCAGAGTTAATCTCCCAGAATCTCTGATGGGTGATCGATTAGTTCCTCAGAATTTTGGATCTGGCTTGGAGATCAGAACTGGGGGGGGGGGAGAAACGGACGCCAGGGAACAGAAGCCACTGCATCTGGTGCTATTTTTAATACCTAGACTCTCTCTTTGGAATCTGACCCATGTCACAGTCATTAGAAATGAGACAATTTGCTATGGTTCCCCCCACCTCCAATTTTAAGTGTTGGTAATTTTCCAACGGTGATTATAGATTTTACTTTTAGATTTCATTATGCAAAACTTAGATCCCATGAACTGAATTCTTTCACAATTAGAAGGCTAAAGGCTCACACTTCTTGTCAGCAGGAAGTGGAGGTTGGGGGCCATTCTAATTTGGGAGATGAAAAGCCATCTTTAACCCAGAAAAAACGAAGTTAGTTGAGAGAATCTCTCTATTGCATCTGACATGATTTACCCACAGACCAGGGAAATGTGAGAGGGCAGTTTCAGAGAGGGATTCACCT